CCTCCTGCCCCGCTCCCTCAGCGCCGCCCTCATCCCCTGCCCTCCCAGCCCCCTTCCCTCATCCCCTGCCCTCCCACCCCGCTCCCTCAGCGCCACCCCCCTGCCCTCATCCCCTGCCCTCCTGCCCCGCTCCCTCTCGTGCTAGACTCTCTCCTCGGCTGTCTCGTTCCCTGAGCCAGCGTCTGGGGCTGGGCTCGTTGCCGTGATACGAAGCTCCCCACAGCGGCCGCAGTGCAGATCTCATCGCTGCTGGCTAGTTACTGGAACCCTCCGCTGGCTGCACCGCGCTGGCCGTTCTCTCGGTGACATCCCGGATGGGAAATCTCTCCTGCCCTTTCCCCTCCGAGCTAAATTCCCCCCGATAATCTGCTGCAGGTCCAGGCTCCTTCCCTCTCGGGGCGCTGGGGTGACGGCCGGTCTCTCTCTCTGCCCGGCAGGTGATGGAATCTGGGCTGGGGCTGAGGAGAAGCCGTGGGGAGCCCAGAAGTCCCCGGGAGGAGCAGCTGCCATCCCAGTGCCCCAGGGGAAGGCGCCAAATACCTGCCAGGACTGCGGGCAGAGCTTCTCGGAGCGGGGCCTCCTCATCGTGCACGTGCTGAGGACCCACCTCGGGGAGCGAACCCTGCCCTGCGGGGAGTGCGGGAAGATCCTCTCCGGCCGGGGCAGGCTGGCGGCGCATCAGAGGGCCCACCTGCGGGAGCGGACGTTCACCTGCGTGGCCTGCACGCGCAGCGTCGTCTACAACAAGCACCTGGTGGACAAGGTGCGCATGGAGCTGGCCGGAGGGAAGCCCTTCAAATGCACCAAGTGCAGCGACAGGATCATCCTGATGGTGGAGCCGCCGGCGGAGCGCGGGAGGGGCTCCTTCCCCTGCCCCCACTGCCCCAAGGTCTTCCCCTACGTCTACCTCCTGCAGCGCCACCAGCCGCTGCACGCTGGGGAGGCGTCCTTCCCCTGCGCCGAGTGCGGCAAGAGTCTCCACCGGCGGACCACGCTCGGCAAGCACCGCCGGCGCCACGCGGCCGAGCAGCCCGCCCCCTGCGCTGAGTGCAGCCGGAAGGAGCGCCGGGAGAGCCCCGCACCGGAGCAGCCGTTCCCCTGCACGCAGTGCGGGCGGCTCTTCCCCCGGCGGGGCTCCCTGGCCGCCCACCTCCGGGCCCACGCGCGCCCGCCGCTGCACCCCTGCGCCCAGTGCAGCCAGCGCTTCGGCAGCAAGCGGGCGCTGCTGGCGCACCAGCGGGCCCACGCGCCGGACAGGCCCTGCCGGGAGTGCGGCCAGGCCTTCGGCTCCAGGGCGGCCTGGGCCGCGCACCGGCTGGAGCACGAGCGGCAGAAGCCGTTCTCGTGCGCCGAGTGCGGGAAGGGCTTCAGGCGCAAGGACAGGTACACGGTGCACCAGTGGCTGCACGTGGGCCCTGCGCCCCTCGCCTGCTCCCAGTGCGGCCAACGCTTCCGCCTGCCGCTGCAGCTGGAACGGCACCAGGGCCTCCACCGGGCGCCCAGAGAGGCCAGGCTCAGGCCGAGCGCGCAGGCCTGCCCGGCCGGAGAGCTGAGCCCCACGCCTGGCCCTGCCACCCCGTCCGCGTGCAATCCTGGGCCAGGCACCTCGCCGGCCTGGCCCGTGGTGTCCCCACCTGAGAAATAGGGTGAAAGGGCACAAGGCCTGGGCACAAGGCCCGGGCAGTGTCTGTGGCACTGGGTGTAGGCGTACATTAGAGAGCGGAGAGCTCTCGCTGGGGGGAGTCATGGGGGCTGGTTTGGAAGGGGCTCTGGGCAGCCTGCATGAGTGGGCTCAGACGGCTTCCGTAGCCTGCGCTGGGGGGCTTTTCTTTGTGTCCCCCCACACAGTGGGAGTGGGTGATGGGATGGGTCCCTCGACTGCCCTGTTCTGTCCATTCCCTCTGGGGCACCTGGTGCCGGCCGCTGGCGGAAGCCAGGACCCTGGGCTGGCTGGACCGTTGGTCCGACCCCGTGTGGCCGTTCTGATCTCAAATGAGATTGACGCTGTGAGCGCCTCAAAGGTAACCAGGGTCTGCGCTACAGTCAGTGTCAAACCAACCTCGCATCTGTCTCTGCCCGGGTCACAAGGCCGGGGGCGGGGGGAGCGACAGAGCTCGGCTTTAATACGGTGTGTGACACTGTCTCCCATGACCTCATAAGCACACACGAGTAATAGAGCCTCCAGGAGCCTACGGGTGCAGGACTGGTTGGAGACCCGCTCCCAGAGAGTAGGTACCAGTGGAATCGCAGAGCGAGTGGGGTCCCGCGGGGATCTGCCCTGGGTCCGGTTCTAGTCAATATGGTCATAAATGATTTGGCTAATGACAGAGAGAGAGCGCTGATGTTACCAAACGGAGGGGTTGCAGGTGCTTTGGAGGACGGAATTGGAATTCGGAAGGATCTGGGCAATCCGGAGAACTGGTCTGAAGTAAATAGGATGACATTCATAAGAACAAATGCAAAGTGCTCCACTTAGGAAGGAGCTGTCGGTTGCACGCACACAATGGGCAGGGACTGCCGAGGAAGCAGGACTGCGGGAAGGGATCTGGGGGTGCTAGTGGATCTCCGACTAAAAAGGAGTCAATAATACAAGACTGGTGCAAAAAACCCCCAACATTCTGGGATGTAACAGTTGGGAATTTTTCATACGATTTTGGATGAATAATGTGTGTGCCTCAGTTTCCCCCATGGGCTGCATGGTTAACGGCGGGGTGGGGGGGAAGGTTTACTCTTTGCGGAGACCCAGGAGTGGCTGATGCCTGGCTGTCTGGGGCCTGGAGAGGACAATGGCCACTCCAACTGCCCAGCCCTTTGGTACCTAGCAAATAACGACCATGGATGGCCCATCCTCTGCGGGAAGCCAGCCAGTAGTGACCAACTGGAGGACAAAGGATGGAGGGGGGCTTGTTGAGTTCTTACGTGTGGGCTGCTGGAA